CCACCACTATTTGGAACCAGCTACACACTGAAGTATTTCCGAACCAATTCGACTTAAGGTCCTTCAATAAAAGCGTACCAAGTCTTAAAAGGCCGACAACACACTTGCGAGTCTTCTGGCAATGTGAGTGTCCATGGGCATATCACTTAACATCGTGTGAGCCTCCTTCCCGTTTGCCTTCTGTTACATTTAAAAAAAGTGAACGGAAAATAATAACAACTATAGATGTCCAACCCATATGGTGCATATTCTGAAGGTCCTAAGGAGGTGGATTCCATATCGATAATTATTGCTTATAACCCTAAGAATATGACCATCAGAAAAATCTTGTCTTTAAAAAGTTACAATTTTTTCGGATATTTGAACTAGTTTCCAATTAAGACTGTACGGAAGAAGAAGAAGGGTTATAATCATATCAGATTTCTATAAATAATTCTAAATTGTAAAATACCAAAATTGCCGTCATTTTTTAAACCATATTTCATATATATAATGGTATAAAAATATATCCAGTAATGTGGAACTTAACAATACTAACCCCACCAACACAACATTTCACCTGTGCGATACCGAGTTGCTAATAATTAATATTTAATTAATTACTAGCTAATCAATTGGTTGATGTTCCAAGATGCTCTCAATGGCAATAAATAATTTACACATAATAGGATATAACTGAGTATATAAATGTATAATATTTTCCACAAAAGCCATCGTAAAATATTCACATTTATTAAAAGGTTGGCCACTAGGAATCGTAAACGCCTACTTACATCTGATCAAAAATTCATCATTATGAAAGCAAAATTGCCTTACCGTTTAGTGGGTTACCATTTGAATATTAAAGGCAATGTATTTAGTTTATCTTCCAATGGGGCCGTCTGCTTTGGATGGATGCCGATCATTATGGTTACTTTGAGTTTTGTTTCCACGCTTCTGAATAATGCAGTGAAAGCACCAATGCACATCCGAATATTCTTTAACCAAGACATACGTCTGCGGCCATACGAAACTTTTTATTTGGTCATAAAGATTGCCTTCTCTTAATAGGTTTAAATTCTGTGAATTTAAGGGCACAGTTCAGTTAGATAAGGGAAACCCTTATTATATAACCTTGGTGCAGAAATAATACCGTCTTCTGGTTAGGCCATAGGGATCGTCAGATGTCGTGCGCACATGTTTTCGCCTAAATTATGGGCTTAGACGACGCTACCAAACTTGCTGTTTTTGTTTCCAAGATTAACGATGAACTACGCCCCGGAAAAAACGTCACAGAAAACGGCTGTTGCTTAAAACTTTGATGTATAAATCTTTCATATTTTACGACATCCGCAACAGTGTTGATAACTAGTTTTAAGCTTGTGGATTGAATAGTCCATTAAGAAATAAATTCTCATTTCAAATTACCACTGGTAAATGTCGTAAACTGTAGAAGTATTACAACTATTTTGCTAGTGTTTGTTAAGCCTTTCATTGCACCGTTTATTATGTAAATAAAATTATAAAAGCTCCATTGATCTGTTTGCATTATAATCGGATTCATTTGTGTAAATTCGAGTTGTTTCTGATTTCAATGCTATAAAACCTCATATTTAATTTCTCGTTAATTGTTGCTTAACATTCAGCCAATTCAGGCTTTCATGTTAAGACTGAGATTATCTATCTAAATTGTTACCTTTACTAATATGTGCGTATGGATTGCAGAGTTTGTGAGTCATCGTGGCACTGCGAGGATGAGCTTTTCTACGATCCAACAGTAATTTTGTTTAATTGTATAATGTTCTCTTTGAACCTACCTCGTATATATTGATGACTATTTCGACTACCCTTGAAGAATTATACATCGCACAAAATTATTCATTTTTACACCACTTTTTACTGTTACATTGGCCTATATTTAAATACATTTCTCATTTTTTTTGAGGACTTGCTTCCTTAATGGCGTAACTTCAAGCAATAAAAGATATCAAAAATGTATTAAAAAGGGCGGCAGTATTCCAAGCAATAATGGAGCGCGAGGTCCGGTGCAACCATTAACCACCGAATTATCTCGTCTCTCCAAGTATTTGGACGTTTATTCACTGTGCAAATGTTTCGAAACAAAATTGTTTTAAATTTTATTATGCGGCCCGGTTATTCAGGTACCTTCCTTATATGGATCCGTTTTTAAAATAACGAATGTTCCAGTTATAAACGGAACCGTATTACTAATTTTGCAGATAAAATTCAAACTTAACAATTGAAATACGAGTAATAGTTCACACAGATTTTAAAAAGGTTATTGAATCACTGTGTTGGCCTAGGAGCTTCAGCGTGCGACTCTCAACCCTGAGGTCGTAGGTTCAATCCCCGGCTGTGCACCAATGGAATTTCTATCTATGTGCCCATCATTCCCTCGAACGGTGAAGGAAAACATCGTGAGGAAACCGACATGTCTTAGACCCAAAAAGTCGACGGCGTGTGTCGGGTACAGGAGGCTGATCACCTTCTTCCCTATTAGATTGAAAAATGGTCATGAAACAGATTCAAAAGTCTGAGGCCCAGACCTAAAAGAGGTTGTAGCGCCGCAGTTTTTTTATTTTATTGAATACCTTATACCAGGTAAAGTTTTATAGACTAGTGTACGTAACCTCATAAATTAAGATAGAACCTGTGCTGGTACCAATTTTAGTTGTAGTAAATAACCACTTTAGTTTTTCATACATCCATAATATATAACAAAGGACTGTAAAATAATATGTTAACGTCACTTAAATATAGGTGATAAATATGCCACTTAAACTCTTTAAGAACCGTTGAATATCACAAGTTACAGTTTTTTGTTAGTCCAGGCTCGCAACCTTTAGGGTTGTACCCTACGCAACACAACGGCAAATTTTATGTTAGTTATTAGCTCTTCTTCTAAACTATTAAAGAGAGTTGACTCTTCCCTCCAACAACCGCCACCGAACTTAACTCGCAGTATGATTCCAAATGCATAAAGAGGCCACAGATAAAGAAACTCTTACACTTAGCATTCAGATATCTCACTTTTGAAATTGGGTGCTTCTTAGCAAAAATAATAAAGGATAGTCCCTGGTGAAACAAATTACTTAAAAATAACATTTGACGTCAATTGTAACGAACATTAAATATTTACTTATAATTAAGACGGCTTAATGGTTTCTTTAATTTCAATATAAAACGTTCCTCATTTTGACGTTCTCAAGTTTAATAATATATGAGATTACATAAAGTATATTATAGAAAGATATTTTTTAGTTTGAGTATAGCTTCTAATTGTATCCGTTAAAAAGATATCAAGAGGATTAGCAATCAGCAAACAATTCCAATTGTCCGTAGCAGATAGTTTCACCTGTAATTAAAGTTTGTGGTGCAGATAATATCGGCTCTGATTGCCGGGAACTACTTAATTACGAGAAGGTCCCGCTCCCGAGGGAAGGCGATCTGAGACGAGCACTCAAGATTTACTGCTCTTGACCCCACTTGATCCTCCAACTGACACCCGATATATCACGATACATGTAATTACAACGTTACTAAACAGTCTTTAGGGTACTTTAATACGTGAAGTCACGGCGAAATCGTTTTTTCGGTTAATTGACAATAATTATTTCTCATTTCAGAGATGCTGTTTTTTCACATCAGTTATACTTTATAGTTAATTCAGTTAAAAAAACAATTTCAATTTCTTAAAATCGTTTCATGTTATTAAATATTTCTATGAAAGGATTAGTAAATATAGAAATAAACGGTACGGTATATTATTAAATTTGCAATGGCCTGAAAGTTCATATTGCACGAAAATAAACTCAGCATAAAATGTCTAAAAAAAAACGCTTATTATCAGAAATGAGCTGTACGATGCAAGCATCAAGCGTGTTCAACGAATAAATTCTATTCGCCTTCACTGCAAAAGTCCTTAAGATTAAATTATACTATATTTAGAATATCCATCCCGCTATAGATTAGTAGGTATGTTTTTTTCAGTGAATTAAATGAAAATCCTCGTCAGTCATCCTTAATATTATGTTTTTGTTCTTACTACGTATTTATTAATATTATGTTTTTTGACTATTAACTACGTATAGTATGAATAAAAACGAAATCGTGCGTTCTTAATATATCCGTATTAGCTGTAGTTATTTCAGACCTGAACTTTGAGATAACAATTAATGAAGAAGTTAAATATCGCTTTATCAGCTTGATTAGTTTCCAAATCGATGCCTGCGATTAAACATCCAACTCGGATTTGTAGCATCGGCTAATATGGCCGGCATGCTATTATAACTTGCTACATTCAGAGTGCATGAATGGTGTTTGATGAATTCATATTCATAATTTATGAAACACCTTTTCTATTCGCCAAAATTATCTCCAATGCACTCTCCGAATAATTGCAGGTACACGATATTCTAAAATATCTAACGAGTTAAGAGTAAAATTTTCTATGTTCGTACTTATGCCAGCCCTGCGATTCTGTAACTCGCAAACCGCTGTGTGAGTTCCGAAAAGTGAGTTACAGAATCGTAGGGCAGGCCTATTATATGTCAAACGTTATGATCTACATGAGTGGAAGTTCCATAAATCTGGTTGCTGATGGCAATGATCTCACATTGTACGTTGCGATTTTAATTGTAATTTTTTTCTGTGCTAAGAACAACTCTAGTTGTTCCTTTCCCTCACGAGGACCAATCGGCTTGGTATAGATTGAATAATATATATATATATTTTAGATGCTAAATAGATCTGAGTTCACCTGAGATTCTAAATTACTACTTAACGAAATAAAATAATTACATTATGAGGAGGCTCTTGAATAAGAAACTGAACCATGTAGAATGCCAATTGAGCAAATTCACAGCAGAAAAGACAAGAAAATACGCCTCAATATATTTTATTATTTCTCTACATCTTCATTAATTGTCGTAAAATTCAAACAAAACACAAACTTCAAGAATATTTATTTAATTTACCACACATGAAAATAAACGAATATTTTAGCAACGAGGTAAAGGAGGGGATGCATCACCTAAGCCTGCTTGAATACCGAATCCTGGCGATGGTGGACATTCGCATAACGTAGTAAGTCCTGTTATAGGTTCTGCAGCAAACCTTCCACTCCTTTTATAAGATAAAAGAATATTAAAAAACGAGACTTATGTCCTTTCTTAAATAAAGGAAGACGTTAATAGGGCCTTATACTATTCTTCGAATTATGACCTAATTTGATTCACTGGACCAGCCTTTGACACCATTATGAGCCGTTCAATATCTCCTCAAATTTACTATGTATGAAAAAAGTGTTAAATAAATATAGTTTTTGAGTTTATGCGCTAGATTATAAACAATACGTCAAAAACATAATTAATAATAAATGTTTTGGGCAAGTTAATTAGACAAATAAGAAAGTAAGTCTTTAGTACAGATTATTCGTTTTATGTTTCTGATAGGAAAATAAAATATTATTTATTTATAACCCTTTCACTGTGTCTAAGCTGCCTTGCGATTCTGTAACTCACTTTTCGAACTATCACAGCGGTTTTCGCAGCGGCGGTCACGCTCAAATCAGTCGTTGAAGCAGTCATTTTACGATTTGGCATTCTGATAAGGAGGGGCTTATAGTTTATTGTTTATCAGAATGCCATGCCGCTGTGAGAGTTCGAAAAGTGAGTTACAGAATCCAAGGCTGCTATCAATATGTTTTTGCGCCTACTATAATATTTGGTGTCTTATATTAAATTTGCAGACATACGGAAACACTACATCCGCCTAATCTTAGCTTAAAACTTAATAGAATATTGAATCTGGATATAATTAGACTTACTGCGGTCCACAAGGTGGTATACCTCCACTTTTTAGTGTTTGTATAATGTTGTGGACATCACATACATTTACATCCTCCTAAAATATTATTAATAATTTAAAAGGTTAAAAAATTATACGCATATTACGTGTATCTACAGACTCTGCGGTTAAGTAACACAAGGGAATTGCAATGTTAGTGCACGTAAAATTATTAATAACATTACACTTTCTCGGGGTGCTGTTTTCAGATCAGACTGTTTGAATTAGCATTGGTTTTTGAGATATAATTAAAAACTTTAGAAAAACAACAAAACATTTTCATGCTTGGCTTGATTCACGCCATCGTGTGAGCATTCCAACATAATACCTATATCATTAGGTAACGTTCCTCCAGAGTTTAAATGTCTTGATGAAACCGTTTTTTTTCTTTACTTAGATCAAGATTTTTAGGGAAATGGTTTCAATCGCTGTGTAGGTACCTTGATGCTCATACCAAGACCAAGCTGCTTGAAGTGTGAAAACAACAGTTCAATATATTTTATATATCTTTCATCCTTTTTGTTTTTTACAGTCCAAACGAATTAATTTCTAGCATTTTTTCAATATCAGTAATGTAAGTAAAAGTTTTCATCCTTTGTCGACCTTCTTATTTGTGGACTATCAAACATTCCGGGTCTACGTTTCTCTGTGTTCAAATTATAGAACATATGTCTGATAGCTGTAGCTCAAAAGCTGCTAAGTAAAAAAAGGAAGATCGAAATCATCGACCTCAAATTAGTTAACAACAGGCATAAAATTCCAAGCAACAAAAAAAAGTTTAAATTTGTCCCTTTGTGTAATGATGGCCGCCAAATGAAGTACAGAATGCACAAGCCTTCATTAAATTTGAGTACAACTTAGTAAAACGGAAATTGTTATTGGTATATTATAATACCTGTATCATTGCAAAAGCTCATCACGTATTTTCAAAACGAAAACTTGAAATAATTACCTAATACGAAATGAGAAATCGAAAATTGCCCTTTGAATTGGAAGCCAGTTAGAAACACACGTTTCGGTGAGGCCAATCATCGATAGGCCGAGATAATCTCCTTGATTCGATTTAGATTGGCGTGCATCCAGGCTCACTTACATAGTAATCATCATCAACAACCAGAACCGGGGCATTAGCGCATGCGCCCTGGCACTGCACGACGTCGACACCGAACATACGATCAGCTGATAGGCTCCCGGCGCAGCAGCACGTCGCCTCTTCGACTGCTTGGAGAATGACATCTGAACCACGAAGCATGCAGGGCGTCGTTACACAGACCTTCACGTTGAATTTGCCTCTGTAGCGCCTGTAGAATTCATAGCAGCACGTAAAGAGCTATAGGCAGATAGCAAAGAGTTCTATTTGCAAATGTGAACAACTTTAGTACGAGATCATATACGTATATTGATTTCGAAATCGAAAACTCTGGTATTAATCTTTATTTTCCCGTATAACTAATAAGTATAAATGAAAATTAATCGTAAAATATGTTGCTACGCGCAACACTCGAAGATGGACTAATTTGAGTATTTTTTTATTGAACCTTGAACTCTAAGGAAGGTTTTATGGAGAAAAATTGGGAAAATTGCACGGAAAACCTAAAAACAAGTTTCATATTAAGGCAAAAGCAAATCCGCGGGGACAGCTAGTTCATGATAAATAAAAAATAAATAAATCAGTGGCTACAACCTCTTTAGGTCTAGGCCTCAGATTTCTGAATCTGTTTCATGATCATTTTTTAATCTAATAGGCAAGTAGGTGATCAGCCTCCTGTGCCTGACACACGCCATCGACTTTTGGGGTCTAAGACATGTCGGTTTCCTCACGATGTTTTCCTTCACCGCTTGAGCGAATGTTAATGCGCACATAGAAAGAAAGTCCATTGGTGCACAGCCGGGGATCGAACCTACGACCTCAGGTATGAGAGTCGCACGCTGAAGCCACTAGACCAACACTGCTGTAGTTCATAATAAATACTTCTCATTGTTACTTAGTCAGTATAAAGCAAACCTGACAAATTGTGATCTATCTTTGACCATGTCTGCTACGTAGCTTTAATACATACTTTGCTAATTACCTCTTACACATAGTGTAAAACGTAGCCCACTCATACACCCTCATCCGTGGAATACTAAGCACCTCAGCCACTTTATGCATGGCTGATATGGGAATCCAGCCAATCTGTCTTTGAACTATATCCATAGCCGCAGAGAGAGCTGACCGCTGACAGCCCTGGGGATAGTTCTGGATGATTGCACATAATCTCTGAAAAAAATCATAATATATACAGATACAGTTGTTAAAATTGTGTGTATGAATCCCTGACACACATCGTCAGATTTTAAGTCATAACGGTTTCCGCATTATAAGCAAGAGCTACTACGTAATATGTTTTTTGTTATTATCTTTTTATAAGATACATATACTCATAGATGACTACAGTGACTATCCTTAATAGGACTATTATTTTTCATATATGAAGGTTTCATGTCAAACTTCAAGGATGAAAAATTAGATTAGATTTTACTGACCCGGAGGTCTCACCTTAAATATGTTGTTTAATCGAATTATAAGCGTTTTAGTGTAATGTTCATACCTACATATACACAATGCTAAATAATAAATTGTACTTAATGTTATTATACTTTAAATTTATATTTCTTGTCGTATGTCTAGTATACGTTACAGCTAGAGCGAAACGAGTGCGATGGTATATAAAGGTCTACAAAATCCCACACGTCATTGGCGTAGTCAAAACGAAGGAATTATTTATACTAAGATATAATTTTTCCCTTTCCGGTGTTATTTATACCAAAAGTACAATTTTGATCACATTGTGACATTTGCAAAATAAATTGTTTAATAATTTTACTAAAGCTTCAAAAACGTAATTACCGTCATGTTAGCTTCTGTAAATTCAAACGGTATCTGCGGATTGTTATCATTACTATCACGGTGTACAAAGAGCTCTTCGCTTAAAAGATTTTTGGAGCAGGAAAAATTTCTTACAATTTGTGGTATCTGGAAAATGTAAATAGGTAAGATAATGGCGCGTACTTTCAGAAAATAATCCTATTAAGTATTGCAATACAAAGGTACCTTTTGTACCACCTTAAACCTATTAACAAACATAATTATAATCACAAATATAGTTCCAACTTTTGTTGAAACACCTACGAAACGTCAATGAATGTGACAAGAATATTTTCTGTGACAGATATAATAAAGTATAACAAATCCTTACTTTATGGAGTTTATTATAAAGCTAAAACACTATTTGATGTTCCACGTAGGTTGTTTTTAAGTTAGTTTCATACAAAACGTATCTAAGTAAATAATTATTGTTTGCTTCCTATAAAAGCATGTTTACTTTCCTTATAAAACAAATTACCATATTAAGAAAATTACAATCTTGTTGCGAAAACAGTTTCGATTTTCAAAATTGCCCTATGCGCTGTAGTCTGTTGCCGATCTAAAAGTCGTTACCTGCACGGGCGATATTACCGGATATTGGGAAATGATGCTAAAAGATGGTAGTTGTCGGATCAAGACGACTACTAATATCGGTGGATGCAATATCGGGGATCATTCCCATAAAACCGCCCGAAGAGAATATCGGGTACGTTATTGACCTCATAGAAATTCACCGATGAAGCACATAGCTTAAGCGATTTTAACATCGTAAGTGTAAAGAGATGTTTATCGGTGCAACCTAGTGACCTCTTTGGGTGAGTGAAGCCAAATAGGTCAAACGTTATCAAAATCCTTATATTATAGCTGTCTCATAATTAACTAAGCACGTGTTTATTTTATATTTCGACTCGAAGGAAATGTTAATATTTCATCCAAAACTCAATTTGTCGTTGACTTCGCGCTCGTTCAACTTGTGTTATTGAAACATTTTTCAAACAACTACAAGTATTTTCATTTTGAACATGATAAATGCGGTTAATTCTGTCATTTGCAGTACCACTTTTCCTTTGTTATGGAAACGTTTCGTTGTTTACTATAAAAATAAACGATAATAACAGTGAAAAACAAATGTTAATTTACTATTATTATTATATATAGTTAGGACATGAAAAATAAAATATAGCTGAGAAGAAAAATGTAATTGTAGTTATAACTGCATAAACAATGTTAAGTCACAGATAGAGTATCCTAAGACTGCGTTTACCCACAGTGGCCATTACTTAGGAAGACGTAAGCCAGACCAACGTTATATAGATTATACTTTAGTGAGAAAAATACGGGTACTATAGAGCGGAAGAACTTAATACACGTTTTATATCTTTTGATTTATACTTACCCCAGCTCAGTCAAATAAAGTATTGTAAATAAATTACGCCTTATTCAATACATAATATTTTTCCCTCTCCGTGCGTGAAATACTAACGATTAAGCAGTGGTAATACTTTCTATTCTCAAACTTATTGTCGTGCATTCATATCACGGCACCGGTGGATTGATATTTACGAAATTTATTTATTTATTTATCATCAAATTTACGAAACGAAGTCAATGAAACCGTCGTGAGTAGTATAGAGAGTAATGAGAGCATGCCTTAAAAGTAGAAATCATTAGCTATTAGTCTAATAGGGATAATCATTAGAATATTAGGGTTTTGGGAGAAGTTTTTGGATAAACAATTCTTGTTGTCTTCTCGTGCCTAAAAACTGGACATCACTTAAATATGGCTATTATATTTGCGCTGATGATTAAAAATGGTTTTATTTTATAGAACAGGTGGCAAACGGGCAGGAGACGTGGACACTCACACTGCTAAAAGGCTCGCAATTGCGTTGCCGGTCTTTTAAGAACTTGTACGCTCTGTTCTAAAAGACCCTTAGTCGAATTGGTTACGAATACTTCTGTTGGTTGCTGGTTCCAGATAGCTGGTGCGCGGCATCACTATCTGGAACGGAAGTCAAGGTGACACAGGTGGAATTTCGTATTCTGCCTTAGCGTCCGATGATGAAACTGACCTGTAACCCGAATAACTCTACTCCCCATGGCAAATGCGGTTTTTTAAAGTAAAATTAAAATTCCCTTTTCATCAAGCGATCAATTCCATATTGTCACGATATATCCAGAGATATAAATTTACAAATAAGCAATATTTGTAATATGCAAAGTGCTTTTCTAAGACATTTCTAAAATAAAAAACGTTTATCTAAAGCCGAGTGAAATTATTTTATCCCGGGCTAAAGCTGACGCAATGAAAACGAATCTCCCCAAAGTGCCTTGACATCAGAATCCTGTGAGCCGCAACCCTTACTCATTACGTTATCGAGTTCCCTCGAACCCTTTCTTTCCTAAGACTTATGCCCGTAAAATAAACATATACTTGATTGAAATGAAGATTTCACGTATCAACTATTGGCTAGATATTGAAAATTTCTACCACTTCATTTGTTACTTAGATTATTTTACATAATTGTATAATATGTGGTGGTCAAAAAAGAGAATCACTTCTAGGCGAGAGTTAAAAATTAAATAGAAAATAGTTTTAATAATTTATAATATTGCGCAAGAACAATATAAATTAAATTGGTGCTTAAAAATATGAAAAACAAATACCCTGCAATTGCATTTGTTTTATGAAACAATAAGGGAAAAAACTATTAAAATCCGCAATTTTATTATTGACATCATTAAAAATACTGAAGGGATTTCATTCAAAACAATGTTTAGTCAAATATCTGTAGACGCATACTGCTATATAGTTTAGTGTAATATTAAAACCACAATCTCATCTAGAAATCCGTTATAAAATATTCGTTGCCCAGTATCCAAGTTGCACTATATACGTACTGTAGTTACTGGACTATATAGAATGTTTCTATTTAGACTTTCATAAATCAGTTTAAGGTTTAATCAGTTTTTTGGTATAGCATAAACGCAATTGAACATTTTATTAACAAGATAAGGATACTAATACATAGCCTATTTTATTTTTCCAAATATATAAATAATTAATAAAAATATCCATCATTAAATATAAATTGAACGAGAAGGATCAGTTCAAAGTGCGGTCTAAAAGAAACTTGATATAAAATAAAACTTAAACATTTTAACAGTGTACTACGGCGGCTTGTTTCTCAATAACTTTTCCATTTAAACTTGCTACAACTTCCTTAACGTTGCATCAACCGATTGTAACCACATTTACCAACAATTTGTAGTTACAAAAAATGTTTGTACACCGTCCAGATGTACTACAACTTTATATGCTTTAGATTTCGACGTGATTCCTTGAGCCTTTTTTTGTTGCGAGGCGCGCCACGAGGTTTTAGACCCTGTATATACCCTCTACTCAACTCACGGCGTTAGCTTAGTAGCTCGCCCCACTCAGTCAACCCCACTCTCCGCCCCAATCAGTCGTTCCGCGGAGTGCATTTCCTCACTTAAAAAGGCTACTCCTCATCACGTCATTTTCCTTCACCAGTATGAACCAGTATTATCTGCGCACATTGAATGAGAAATCCACAACCAAGATTCGAGCGTCAACCCTTAGATTGAGCATCGAATTATTTATCATTAGGCTAAAACTAGCCTAAAATTTCCTGCTTCTGTCTTTTAAGAAAAATCTCTATTATGAACATTAAATCAAGAAGTGCCACAGTCAAAATCATTTAATCATATAGGTAACTCAATGTACACTTATGAACGTCAAAAAAAGAAAAGTATATGAAATGCCTTAACTTTACATTTAGTGCCAGTTCTCAAATCAAGGGCGTAGAACGGAAGAGAAGAACTGGCAATAAACTCTCCGCCACTCTTTTTAATCGCCATGGTTTTTTTTACACAACCTTTGTAAGGAGCTGCAACCATTACACCATGTTCCACATGACATCTTAAGTAATTAATAATAATTACATAAATTAAAAACAAAGACTTGTTCTCTATCAGCGGGAGGCATGGTGAAATAGGAGCACGCACTCACACTCTCGCGGGAACAACACGCAAACACATATTCGACTATGTGTTTGCGTGTTGTTCCCGCGATAACTAACATCACCTCATACACGAATTCAAGTACGACCAGTCACCACAAGTAGCACCCGTTCACGAGTATGGCCAGCCATCGGCCCCCTCGCCATATTTTAGAGAGAGAGACAACCCGACTCATGGTCGCCGGCCGGCATTACATATAACATAATCTAAAAATGTCATTAACGCATGCATATTATTTTTTGTAATTTCGGAAAACGTTACCTTCGGTAATAACATTGTTGACATTTTGTTGTATTATCACTTTGATGAATGATGATGTAATATCAAAATTGCGAAGCCTTCAAAAGGTTTTTGTATGAGAATACTTATGTCTTTCTAGACCCTTGTCAACGCCAAATGTTTTATGAAGAAATTAATTTTTCATGAGTGAAATTGATACAAGGAGCGTTAAAATGAGCGTTACCACTAATGACCAAAGTAATCCTGTATGTGTCAAAACGGAGTCTTATAATTCCTTTTAAATAAATATAACTGATGTATTTATATATGTATTTATATTTAACACTCCCTTGTACCGTGAAGGAAAACAATGTTAGGCAAAAACATGTCTTACACCCAAAAAGTCAATGGCTTGTGTCAAGCACAGAAGGCTGATCACCTACTTGCGCATTAGAAAAAACAAATGACACATATCTAAAAAGTACCTCACAGAGATTAAATGGTCTCGTTTAAATTTAAAGCTCAAGATTTTGTTCAGTTAATTTGGAAAATAGGCCGGGGACATTTACAAAAAGTAAAATCATCTCAACAAAGGAGCTAGGTACAAATTTAGGATTTATAAAATAAGCTTATCTTAGACCCTTATAATCCGTACTCGTAACTTTGATCCTCTCAAAATGAAGGAGACCAACTGGGATTGACATTTACACCGTTATCTGTCTCGGCAGGCACTTTCTGTTTCCGTAAAATGAACATTTTATGCTTAAGAACTAAAGGGTTGAAAAGACAAAGCTTGGTATGACTTAAACATCATGTAGTTTTTAATCCAAACTAGATTTAATGTAATATGTGCAATATATCTACATTATATTTTCTAAGAGTTTTATAGAGAGTGTTACATAAGCTACATTTAGTTTTAATGGAACGAAAAAGAATAGTATTTCTTTAACATTCTT